TGGTGACAATCAGTCCATTTCGTTCACAAAAGTCAATAAGCATTTGACCCCTGTGATTCCATCTTCCTAGTCCATGTGATCCAACAATATTCTGATATGGTTCATCTCCAACAGTGCTATTCCATTCTCCCAATATGATGCTGTTTGTGTCACCTATTCCATCTTCCAGAAGAATTTCTTCAGTTGTGTCATACACTTTTTCCACTTCATCATCTTCATACTCTGATGTTGGCATGTACACTTGCATAATCAGTATATCTACCGGTTCCGCCTTTAACTTCAGAGCAATAATTCTGTCATTACAAACAATCTTCTTAACAACACCGCTCACTACACTTTTATGCACCACTATTGCCACACCTCTTTCAGCCCGTTCACTTCCAGAATAATGCACTGTATAATCACATTTTCTTATTTCACCTTGTCCTTTCCACCGCACTTCACTGACACCTAGAACAGACACCTCATTCTTCTGCATTTCTGTTTTCAAATTCTCCAATTTGCCTGCTTGATTCAAGGTCCTTACATTCTATGTTCCAATCTTGTAGCCATGATGTTCCTTCCGATCTTCGCGCTTTTTCTTGTTGTAGTAGATCACTGCCCGTGCGTGGTAGTTGTAGAAGCTGGCGACCATGCGTGGTAGTTGTCGGCGAGTCTGCATGACATTTCCTCTAGAAACACTCCCCCCCTGGAGATCTGATTGGGGGAGTAGGGGATTAGTAATATTCATTATTTTTTTGTTAAAAGTAAAATATGGTCACGAGTCCCACAGCACTCAGTGGAGCTATGAATGGGGCATAGGGAGGAACAAGGGCAGAAAGAGTATTGGACAGCTGCTTTCATATCCTGCCCTAGCTTCTGATTTTATCTCTTCTTGTGTATTTCTTATATTCAGTACAACTCAAAAAACTACCATAAAGAATCAACAACTGATACAAATACACACTAACTGGATTGTAGTTCCCTGTTATCTTGTTCATAAGTCCATTTTGAAGTAGCAAAGAGACTCATTTTTGTCATGGTTAGTGTGAAGGTCTCAGGAGCTTCTGTGTTTTGAATTTCAGTGGTGAAAACAAAGTTATAATGGTTCTTGCTGCCACCAACCACCCTTGGGACATAGATGAGGCTTTCAGGAGGAGGTTTGAAAAGAGGGTCTACATTCCTCTGCCAAATGGTGAGATATATATAGTATAAAACAAAATTTATAATGTGTATTCTAATTCTTTTGATTCTTTAGCTTATTTAAGATTACATCACTTGGATCAGTACTTTATGGAACCAAGTGACTATTTTAACATCCCCACATCCAAAATCCTGCGCTTCATCCAAAGTGTGGGGTTGCTGAGAGAATAATTAAAAAGGGGGAAGCACAATAGACCTAAGGTTGCGGTGCAAGGGCTGAGAAGGCCTGCCCCTCATATATTCTATTCTAATTCTTTTGGTTGGCTGGGACACCAACTATCCTGATCAAGGTATTTTGTGGTTTCCTTTACTTCCTGCAAGCAAATTCCAGGATGGTACCTTAAATTTGGACACTACCACTACCTTCCACATTCCATTCCAAATCATTATTCACTGTCATTCAACCATTCAGTGTTGTATAGTCTGAATTATTGAGTGTTGCTAAGAAACTACAAATAAATAAATAAATGTCATCTTCTGGGACATGATGGGTGTGCAGTTCAGTTGAAAGTGACCATCTTATAAGAGGAACGTGTCCTCTCTGTTTTCTGCACATGAAGGAGGAGGCATCAGATCTTCTGAAATATTGGTATTTATCTACCAGATTACATGGCATCACATGATGACATGAGTTTTTTTTTTTTTAGAAAATTTGTGAATCTTAACTTGAATTTTTGTGAAATGGTTGTAAAGAGTCCATGTTCCACAGAAGTTGGAGAAAGATTTGACTAATTGAGCGACTATTAGTTCCTCAAAGAGGACTCTGCTGCATGGGGGTTAGTTATTTTGTTTAGAATGATAAAAAGTACCCCTTATATATTTTGCATAACTGGAGGAAGTTGCACTGCATTACTGTAGTATGTATGAGTGTCTGCATATCTGATGCAGATGAAGCACGCTCTGCACTGCTGAAGTTGTGTCTTGAAGGCGTGCCTGTGGATGAAACACTGGACACCAACGTCATTGTTGCTAAGCTGGAAGGGTATACAGGATCTGACATCAGCAATGTGTGCAGGTTTGTTTGGAACTGCTTTCTCTCTTGATAGCAAGGCCATAGAACTGGTGACCATGAAGACAAATCATTTGGATGAACCTGTTGTCTGTTGTTAAGTGTAAAAGAAGATGGAGAAAGTAGCTTTCTCCAGAGCTTAACTAACAAACTAACTGGCACCATATTGCAGAACACTGCAGTCTTAAATTTTGTTAGTACTCAAATGCTTAAACAAGCTTCAAAAGGTAACCATCTACATGATGTTTAGATGCATAGGAACTTTATTTATATATGATTTGATATTCTCACAGCTGTGATTAAAAAGACTGTTTCTAGGATGTGACACCATACAGTTTTCTTTCTTTTTTACTTTTGCTAAAAAAAGGTGTTTTGGAGGAACCTCCCAATCTGAACAAGGAGGGCAAAGGCAGAAGGAGGTTGGGAGGAACAAGAATGATGAGGTGCCCCCTTAAAGTTCAGTTTTTCAGGGGCAGAATGAATGTGAATAATTCAAAGGGCAGATTAGGGTGGGAAAGAATGAAGAATTGGAGGAGAACCATCTACCAAACTACATGGCCTCACATCCCAGAATAGAGTAATGTTAAACTTTTCATTTCTAACACCCAACCTCGTCTGATGGCCCAAAAGGGATGAAGTGACAGGAGCTTGGGCAAAACTGCATAATGAGCAGTTTCATAGCTTGTACTCTTCTCCAAATATAATCAGAATGATCAAGTCAAGGAGGATGAGGTGGGCAGGGCACATAGCAGAAATGGGGGATACGAGGAATGCATATAGGTTATTGATGGGAAAGCCAGAAGGAAAGAGACCGCTGGGAAGACCAAGGTGTAGGTGGAGGGACAATATTAAAATGGATCTTGAGAAATAGGATGGGATGGTATGGATTGGATTGATCTGGCTCAGGATAGGGAGCAGTGGAGGGCTCTTGTGAACACGGTAATGAACCTCCGGGTTCCATAAAATGCTGGGAAATTCTTGAGTAGCTGCTGTTTTGGTTTCTCCTCAAGAAGGGCTCAGCTCCATAAGTAAGTAAGTAA